GCGCGGGGGGGTTGGCGGCTGCAGGTCTGTCTGCGGGGCCGTGCAGGCTCCGGCCCCCTGGCCAGTCCACGGCCCGGCTCCTGGCCCAGGTTCAGAAAAGGTCCATGGCCAGGCCTAGGGCTAGATGAAGACCTTTAAGAAAAAAAAAAAATTTAATTCATTCTTTGGGAAACATCCATTTGTTCCTCCGCTTAGAGATTCTTTGTTTGATTCTTATATGTGCCCTGAATGAGAATCAACCCTCAACCATGGCCTATGCCAACCCTTTAACCAACTGATCAAGACCTTTAAAACCTAGGAAAGTTAAAGTGTCCTTCAATTTTTTTATTGGGGAAAAAAAGAAACTCCAAGACTTAGATTTCCGTGTGTGTGTGTGTGTGTGTGTGTGTGTTTGTGTGTGTTTACTATTATATTAAACTGCATTTCAAAACTCTTGTGCACATGCAAGCCTCCCCCTGGGCCCTGCTGTTGACTGGTTGGATAATCCTGAGTGGACTACTTACTGTCACTTTCTTACAGTAAAACTATAGCGCTTACTTTATTCCGTGTTACAAGGACTAAATGAGATCATCCACGGAAAGGGTTCAGTTTGGCACCTGATACGTGGGGGCCAAATGTGGCTGTTACAAGTTCAGGTGCTCATGTTCCCCACGGGGGACAGCGGGCGCCCAGTTCTCCAAGGCAGGCACACGGAGCTCCGAACGTTAACAGGGAGGTGGCAGTGTTTCCCAAAATGTGGGGAAATTTATGACATTCCCCCCCCCCCACCCCCCAAGCAGATAGGAAGTTGGCTTACTGTGGAGCAAACATGCTTGAGATTCGTGGCTTCTGTATTTTCACAGTAGAAACAGGAGATGGCTTAACTTTCTTGTATGAAAACATCCTATTAGTCTGAGTGACTTGGAAGATAAAAGCCCAAAGAGAATGGGTTTTAGGAGAGGATCGTGGTTATCTATGGGATTCATCTGTAACAGCTCCAGGTACAACCTCTTAAAAGGATCCCATTAAAAATGCTGGGCCAGCTCTTGAACCTCAGTTTTTCTAACGAAGAAGTTTTTTGCCTGCTCCCTTTCCCCCCCCCCCCCCCCCCCCCCGCCCCCAATAGCTTTGTGAAATATCTTCATTAAATGGTTGACTCCGAGAAATATCTTCACTAAGTAGCTGGTGCTGCAGTTACAATCTCCAAGAGCAGGGCCATGAGTAGACTCTGTAACAAGAGGCCTTCTGGAAAGTCCTGGAACACTTTCCAAGAAGCTTCAGGCTTGTGTAGTTCAGGGAGGTCTGAGGTGGTTGACTGGCAGCAGGACCTCAGAGTGGGAGGGACTGTTCATTGTGATGTGGCTTTTTGTTTGTCTCTCCCTACTGAGGTGGCAAACCTCCGAGCCCTTGACACTACCAGTCACCAGGTAATGTTAACAAGCAAGTTGTGTGTTGCCAGGCCGTGGTGAATAGGTGTGTGATCCACCCAACTCTGGCTTTGCAACTGATCTGTGGCCTTGGGACAGGTAACTTCATCCCGGACGGCCTCCCTTAGTGAACTATAAAGCAAGAACTTTGGGTTTTATCTTTGAGGACTCCTCCAGTCTTAAAGTTTATCAGCGTTTGAGGCCCCAGGCTCCCAGGAACAGTGACTATACTCTTGGGCAGTGGTCAGCAAACTCATTAGTCAACAGAGCCAAATACAACAGGACAACAGCTGAAATTCCTCTTTAGAGCCAAATTTTTTAAACTTAAACTTCCAACGCCACCTCTTCAGACTTGCCCAGGCCGTAGTATTTTGTGGAAGAGGCACACTCAAGGGGCCAAAGAGCCGCATGTGGCTCCTGAGCCGCAGTTTACCGACCACGGCTCATGGGCATCTGTGAATCTCTTCCCTGGTGATCTTAGTTTAGCAAATTTATTTCGGAAGCTGAATTCCCAAGAAGTCTCCCCACTAGAGAGTAACTGGTGAAGCACTCACACCTGGTCTTAAATGGTGTTCTGCTGTGTACCAGCTTTGAGGTGGGTGTATTAGTTTAAAATTGGGGCTGAAACAAATCATTACAAACTTAGCAGCTTAACACAGTTTCGTAAATAAGAGCCTCAATAGGTTCAAGTCGAGGTGTTGGCAGGGCTGTGTTCCTTTCTGGAGGCTTTGTGGGGAATAGTTAGCACAATTACAGTCCTTGTGGTTGGAGGACTGAGGTCCCATTTCCTGGCTGTCAGTTGAGGACAGTTCTTAAGCTTCTGTAGGCTTCTATTGCCTCAGCTGTGGCCCCCTTCCTCTTTCTTAAAGTTCAGTAGTAGGTGAAATCAATCTCACTCTGAAGCTCTTGCCTCTTTTGTTTTCCAATATCTCTGAGATTGCTGCCTTGCTCTTCCTCTTAAATATAGTCACCCAGCTTATTTTATACATTAGAATCCAAGGAGTGACATAGGGTGGAATCCGTGAGATTCGTTGATGGTAGATTAGGGAGGTGAGAGGAAGCAAAGCTGATCTACATTGGTGGGTTGAGGATGGTTAATAATTAACACAGCACATAGAGATGGTATTCAGGGAACAAAATAGCAATGAGGTGGTTCTGTGGCTTCATGCTCTGGTGTGGTGGGTGTGCCCTAACGGGTCTGGCAAAGGAGAATACTCTGAAATTCCAAGGCTGTGTTATGTTTGATACAAAAAACAGACAAAACACACACACACACACACACACACACACACAACAATAACAACAACAACAAAAACAAAACAAGATAGATTCCCTTAAGGAAAAGACTAGCCGGGACCGGTTTGGCTCAATGGATAGAGCGTCGGCTTGGGGACTGAAAGGTCCCAGGTTCGATTCTGGTCAAGGGCATGTACCTTGGTTGCGGGCATATCCCCAGTGGGGGGTGTGAAAGAGGCAGCTGATGGATGACTCTCTCTCATCGATGTTTCTAACTATCTCTCTCCCTTCCTCTCTGTATAAAATCAATAAAATATATTAAAAAAAAAAAAGGGGGGGAAAGACTAATCTTTATCAAGGAAGCTGTAGGCCTATGTTGTGGCTACCTGCCATGACCTGCTTTGCGTTAGGAATTTTTATGTTCAGACCTTCCTGTGTGGTTACTTCCGTTTCTGAGTTTGTAGGGCCTGCCCTGCTGGCCTCCCCCAAGCTTGTGGGTTTAGCATGTGGTCCCCTTTTTGTCCGCAATTAAAAACCTCCGGGTCTTGACTTCCTTCACAGACAAAAGAGGGTTTAAGACGTTCAGCCCTTCCTCCTCTCCCCTGGTGCCCACTGCTGCCCATGTAGGCATGAGTGTAGTGTGGACCAGCCATCAGTTACCTGAGAAGATAGGCCTCTGTGTTCTATCTTCAGCAAAGTCAGCCTTGAGTGGAGAATACCAGCAGCATGTTGCCAGTTGGTTACTGAATTTTCCCAGGGCAAACACGATTAGGAAAGATGGGAAAGAGTATATGAACAAAGGCTAAATATGTGACCAGCAGCACATTTCCCAGGGAGATCCGCCTGTCACCAGTAGACAAAGGGAGATGGAGACAACAAGAAAAGACAACTCATTTCTTTAAATAACCCATAGGAGACAGACCTAGGCGAGGTATGAAAGGGTTGGGGAACTGTTAACCCCATAGTCCCCAGCCAATGAGGAACCAGGGGAAGGACTCTCACACACTAGGGATAAATTGCTTGTGTAGATTTCCTATGATCTGCTCTGGTGTGCCTGCTCAACAAGACACCCAATCTTGCAAGATGCATTGAAGGTCTCATTATCACCACACTTTATGCCTCTGAGTCCGTTGTCTGAGTTCGGACAGGTGAGCATTTCTCAGTCCTGGAACTCCATTCACTTCCCCAGAGTGAGCAGGGAGGTGTTCCCATTATATTTGCGAAAGGGGAGCGGGAGCAGCTGTTTCCTCCTATTCTGCTCCCGGATACAGGTTGGTGCCCTCCAGAGCCCCTCGTTTGGTCGGATGCCCTTCTTAGTGGCATGGCCATGGAGAATGGCCTTCACTGGGCTCCGGCGCAGCCAACAGCACTGGGTGCAATGATAGCAGAGCAGGCATCGCCGCTGCTGCGTACCGGATCCAGCCGGTATCACAGGTCTTGGAGGTAGGGCTAGGAGGTTTAAGAGAAATAAAGACAAGAGAAAGCGGGGCTCCAGGAGGCCTGCTAGTCCATGTGAGACTGCAGCAGCTTTATTAGTTGCAGGTGTACATTTATGTGGCCTTTCTGGGCGTTTCTCCAAGTGCCCCTTTCCCAGGACAAGGCCTCCCGTCAGCTCCTTAAGGCGTTCTTGGAAAAAGATACATAGAGCAGGCATCTGGCTAGATATCATTGAGAACAGCTTAGCTGAGAACATCCAGATAAGTCATGCATCACACACACTCCCTAACAGTGGGGCTATGGTCTGCCCTGTCCCTAGTTGACCCTGAAGGCTTAGGGGAGAGCAGGTAGGTGTCCCTACCCTGTGCTCAATCCCCTGTAGGAGAGCAGGTAGGCGTCCCTACCCTATGCTCCATCCTTGCCCTCGGGCCCCACGGAACACGGCTTCCCACAGCTGCGTTAAGTCCTTTCCTCAGTCTCAGTTGACCGAACGAGCTTTATGGGGAAAACAGTGCTGGCCCCACTGCATGGAGAAAGGGTGCGAAGCTATTGGACGTTAGAGCTGGGCTGGGGCCCGGGAGGTCCTGGCTCTGGGCTCTGCGTGCTGTGACTCCCCCCGGCTGCCCCCTCACCGGGATCCACAGCGTTTCTTTAGGAAGCAGGAGGGGGGGACCAAGTGCTGCCCCATCTGAGAGCATCCTTTGGTTCATGGCACCCCACCTGCTAGATTTCCTGTTTTCTTGGCCTGCTAGCTCCTTCCCCCTGTTTCCTGAAGCCCCTCTCCTCTCCTGCCTTCCCCCCCGCTACCCCCCCTCCCCCCCCGGGACCCTCTCATTCCTGGCTTCTGCGATAACCAGTCAGCAGTCAGTCATTTGCTGGTTCGTGACCGTTTGTGTGTCTTCCTTCCAGATTCAGTAGAAAATGGGAAGCAAAGGAGGCTTCACCCTGCTCGGGCTCCTGATCATCCTTTCTGTCCTCTGTGATTCAGGTGAGTGGTCCCGAGGGACATGGATCTCGACCACCTGGGCACTTCCTCTTTCTTGGGCCTCAGAAGACTGAGCGGGTGCCAGTGGCCCCCACCTGGCTTCCGTGGCTTTGCCTTCCCGTGTTACAGGCCCAGGGCGGGTGCCAGCTCCGTCCTGTGTTACAGGCTTGCCTGCCGCGGGGCACCTTCCCGAGTTACGGCCATTCTGGGTTACAGAGCTGCTCTGGGGGTGGAGGGGGGACACTCAGCAGCTTAAGTCCCACCCTCTCCCCACAATGTTGCTGGGACACCAGCGGACCCATCATTAGCGTGCTGTGCTCTGCCCTCCTGCCCCGGCCTTTATGCGCCATGAAGAGGACGGTGCTCATAGTGGCAGCTAACGCTTCCAGCATTTATGTGCCCATCGCTGTTCTGAACACTTCACAGGCATTTGCTTATTCAATCCCGCATGTCCACCCTATGGGGTAGGTACTGCTTTTATCGCCATTTTACCAGGGCAGTTGACAAGACGGGGGCCCTGAGAGATGAAACAGCTTGTAAACTGTCCCACGACAGTGGCACAGCCCGAATTTGAACCCAAACAGCTAGGCACCAGACCATCTGCTCTTTTTAAAAATATATATTTTATTAATTTTTTACAGAGATGAAGGGAGAGAGAGGTAGAGAGTTAGAAACATTGATGAGAGAGAATCATTGATCAGCTGCCTCCTGCACACCTCCCACTGGGGATGTGCCCGCAACCAAAGAACATGCCTTTGACCGGAATCGGAACCTGGGACCTTTCAGTCCGCAGGCTGACGCTCTATCCACTGAGACAAACTGGTTTTGGCAGACCATCTGCTCTTAATTCCTTCCCCGCCCTGCCCCTGGAGGTATTCCTGTGTTTCTGAGTCTTAGCCTCGTAACACTGGAAACACCAGTGTGACTTGCTCTGCTTCACCATAAGGATCAAGTTTTTCACTTTCTGCCTGTTTTGTGGGGGGAGGGACAGAGAAGGAAAGAGCAGTGCAGGGAGCTAAAGAAGAAAGGTATCTGCATGCTGGAGCATGGCTCACATATCGGTCGCTTAAGTGGCCACCATATAGTGGATGCCTGTTAGGTAGCAGGGACCGTGCCAGGCCCGCTCTCATTGCATCTCCCCAGCCATCCCGGAGGGGTTAGTGTTGTTAAACCCATTTTATAGTTTGAAGCTGAAGCAAAGAAGAAACCAGCCCAAAGACACATTTGAATATGGTCTCCCTTTCCGGGGGTGACAAAGCACGGGGTGGGGGGGAGTGATGACTCATCTCCCTCCCTCCCTCCCTCCCTCCCCCCTTCCCCCCTCCCCCCCTCCCCACCTCCCCACTTCTGCTGATTCTAGCCAGAGGAGATGTAATGCATTCCTATCTGGATGCTTCAAGCCAGTGTGTGTTCCGTAGTTAGAATTACCTGGTCATGCCCGTTTCCAAAGATGTTCAGCTGTTCTGTGACAGCCCCTCGTCCGAGAGTCGGCCTCTGGAGCAGATCCTTCTACCCAGGCTTAGCCGTGAAAAGATCAAAACAGTCGACCGCTGACTTATTGCTGGTCCCTGACCTGGGTCTCCCCCATAATCTGTGCCATTTTCCTCCCTTCCCCACTCAGAGAAGAGCGACATGGTTAGCCAAGCTGCGGTGTCAGAGCGGGCAGCCTTGGTTTGGGGCCCGCTCTCTCACTTAGCAGCTGTGGGAACCGAGGCAAGTCGGTTAGTGTCTTAGTCTTAGCTTCCTCTTGGGGGGGAAAAAAAAGGTGATGGAGATCACTGAGCCCACCTCTTAGAACAGTTCTGTGGAGACTGAGCTTCACACGCAGGTGCCCAGATGTGTGAACACTGAACAAACGTGTGAGCTCTGAACACTTCTGCCCCACCGAAGTTCCAGACCTCTGACTCAGGATGGCCAAGAAGGCAAATGAACTCTAGCTCCAGCCAGGAGGAAATTCGAGGCCATGGGCAACCAAAGAGCCAGGCTGGCACAATCCCTCCTCTTCCAGTCTTTCCGCTCCTGCGTGTGCACACATCGGGAGCAGAGAAGAGAAAAACTGCCTCTCGTCCCTTCTCAGGATGGCCCCCCTCACACAGGCGGACAAACACATCCTGGGAGGAGCAACGGGGTGGCATAACGGAGCCCTGCCCAGGCCTGGCAGAAGGCCCGCGGGAGGCAGCCGGTCATCATCTCTAACTAGAAAGGGTGTGGCCGTGTGAATCGGGAGTGTCCTCTTGCAACTCTTCTCGGCCTCTCCCCGTGACAGATGTGAAATAGCAACTTTTTCTTTTTTTTTTTTTCTTTCTTTCTTTCTTTTTTCTTTTTTTTTTTTTTAAATATATTTTATTGAGTTTGTACAGAGAGGAAGGGAGAGAGATAAAACATCGATGAGAGAGAGTCATCGATCAGCTGCCTCTTGCACACCCCCTACTGGGGATGTGCCCGCAACCAAGGTACATGCCCTTGACCGGAATCGAACCCGGGTCCCTTCAGTCCCCAAGCCGACGCTCTATCCACTGAGCCAAACCAGTTTCGGCAACTGTCTTTTTCTTATCACCGTTGAGATAAAGCGGAGAAGGAGAAATAACCCAGCAAAGCCTGAAGTGTAGCTGCAAAGAGGAACCCTCAGAACAGGAGCAGGAGCAGAAGTGATTGGCACAATCAGAGAACCAGCGGCAGTTTGTGTCCGATGTAGCTGGTCCCTGTGTTCAGCGTCACTGCTGACGCCTGGGTGGCCCACCTCCCTGGGTCTGAGGTGCTATCTCTCCCTCCATCATGTGTGATCATGTGTGCTGCTGGCGACGAGCCAGCTGCTGAGCAGGGAGCAGCTTCAGGGAGGGCTCCTGGCCCAGAGGTCATCATCTCTGAGAGGTCAGAGAGCAAAGGGTGAGGTTCTGCAGGCCAACAGGCAAATTCAAGGCTATTGTGTCGGCTTTTATAGAAATCATGAGAGGAAACAAATTAATACAGATTTTCAGTTGACAAAATTTGAAATGCTATCATTTAGGACAGTTATTTGTGATACAAATCTAATGGGAAGAAAGGGATTCTTTTTAGGAGAATGACATTTGGCTTGCTTGGGTTTCGGAAATTAGTGCTCCCTCTCATCCAGTTGGTGGCAAGTATTCATCTGTTAGTGCTGATCTGTAATGAGATGTTCCGTGGTTCTTCTTCAAAAAATATCTTTTCACACAGGTAGCTACCACCAAGCACTTATGACAAGGGCCATCTTGATATTTATAACATCGTTTGCTTCATATAAGTCACTTAATGTACATGTATGTTGCCATGAAAGAAGCTCCTAGATGTATTGAATTTTGAGTCTCGCCTGTGGTGGCCTTGGCAGGGCCAGACCACACGATTTCTCGTGCCTCGCGGTCCGCAGGCCAGATGCTCCCGCCTCTGATCTAGGTCTAAGCCACTGTTCAGCTCCCATCATGGAAGGGGGGAGAGGGGGCTCTGAATCTTTCCAGCTCACAGAGGGGCTTGCTGCCTCCCTTGTCTATGTTCAGTTTGTTGCATCTCACACTTACTTCCTCTAAGCCCCTGCTTAGAGCTCAAAGGGCCGCTCAGAGGCCAGCTGCCTCTCCCAGCCCCTCCCAGCTCAGATCTTCCTCTCTGCCTACTCTGACAGTCTGAGCTTGGAGACATCTGCCTGCTGCAGGTGTGTGTGGGAAAGCAAGCATGCTGCCCTCTGTCCCGTTGTCATGGCGAAGGTGGGCTTCCTGTGGCAGCCAGGAGGGCACGTCAGTGCTGGCCTACCAGATGCTGATGGCTTCTCTTCCCGATTCTAGGTCATGGCCTGCGGTGCTACACCTGTCTCAACCCAGGGGGTGCGTGCGATGTCATCACCAACTGCTCCGTTAACCTTGATGCATGTCTCTTTGTCAAAGCCGGTAAGAGCCGCCCACCCCCACTCCTCAGGGTAATGGGATGATGGAAACCCGGAGAAAACACTGGGCCCCTCTACCCTCATTAGACTTGCATCCAACAAGTAACAGGTACCCTTTCATAGCATCAGCTACCTGTAGCACTAAGCACTTCTGTGTTTTTAATTGAATGCTTCTCACTTACCACTCAGGGTGATGTTTTTTATTCTCAGTTGACAAATGAGGAAACAGAGGCTCAGATGAAGCAACAGACTAAGGACAAGTAACCAACCCAGGATCTGAGTGTGGGAGTCCATCTATTCCAATGCTTCTCCTCTTAACGGCAATGCTGGCTGCCTCCCCGTCTTTTAAGAGCCTCCTGTGTGTCAGGGTCTGAGCAAGTGGCTAGGAATGCGGAGATGAAGAAAGGTGATAAGATTACGGCAGAGGCCAGTTTATTAGCTGTGTCAGAAATGGGAAAGGGGAAAGAGTTCCTGAGGGTTTCAAAGGCAGGTGTCACCTAGGGTTTGTGGCCTCAGAGAGGCAGGGAAATGGGGGTGGGAACTGCTAAGACTGCATTTCCCATAGTGGTCAGGCTCTGGAATCTCTGTCTCCATAACTCCTATTAGAATAGGATCTAGGAAGTGGTGGGCAGAGGAAAGAAACCAGCCACAGCGTGCCCTCTTCCGTTCTTGATGGACGTGGTTCTGGGTTGAATCTATGTGTGGAAATGATACTGGCGAGGAATGGTTGTGTCTGGGTCTACTTAGTTAAGTAACGTGCACCAGTTGTATATGAGCACAGAGACCTGGTTCTTTTCTTTTTTTCTTTTTTAATATATTTTATTGATTTTACACAGAGAGGAATTGAGAGGGACAGAGAGTTAGAAACGTTGATGAGAGAGAAACATCGACCAGCTGCCTCTTGCACACCCCCCACTGGGGATGTGCCCGCAACCAAGGTACATGCCCTTGACCGGAATTGTACTAGGGACCCTTCGGTCCGCAGCCGACGCTCTATCCACTGAGCCAAACCAGTCCCGGCCTGTTCTTAACCTGCCACCAATAGGTTTTTCTGCCTCTGTTATTTATAAAAGGTATGTGTGTGATGGTAGAGATGGGGAGGAGCGGGAAGAGGGAAGTAAACTAGAGCCAAATATTTTTTTCCAGCTCTCAAATCCCATTTTCTTACCTCAATTATTAGGCTTATATTTTAATTTCCCCCCAACTTTATTAAAGTAAAAATTGGGTATACGTAAGGTGTACAAGGTGCTGATTTGATGTACATAAAATTATGAAATGGTGACCACAATCAATCTAACACATCCATCATCCCACAGTTACCTTTTTGTGTGTGAGGGAGAACACTTAAGATCTGTTCTCTTAACAAACTTCAAGTATACAATACAGTATTATTAACTAGAGTCACCATGCTGTACAGGGACCCTCCGATCTTACTCACCTGAGAATGACTTGGTAAGCTTTAAAAATGCTTGCTGTGAACAGTGAGGCACACTTCCTAGAAAGGCCACGGTCCAGAACCCTGACTTCACCAAACGCTGGCAAAGATGTGGAACGATAGGACTCCCATCTTTTGTTGGTGAAAATGGAACATGGTGCAGATCGTTCGGTAGTTTCTTCAAGAAACTAAACATACTGTCACCATATGAGTCAAACATTGTGTCCCTCAACATTTACGCAAACGAGTTGAAAGCATATATGCCCACCTTGACCTGCATACAGATGCTGGCAAGTTTTATTTAGAAGTGCCTAAACTTGGAGCAACCAAGATGGCCTTCAGTAGGTGAATGAATAAATAAACGGGCACGTCCAGACTAGTAGACTAAAAAGAAATGAGTGATCAGGCCACAAAAGGCATGAAGGGAACGGAAATATGCTAGTATTTTCCTACGTGAAAGAAGCCAGCCTGAAAAGGCTACCTCCTACATCAGTCCAATAGGACATTTTAGAGAAGGTAAAACTAAGGGACAATAAAAAGTCAGTGGTTGCCAGGGGCCAGCTGAAAAATGGGAGGGGCGATGAAGTAGAGCACAGAATTTTTAGGGCCATGAAACTGATACTATAATGGTAAATACATGTCACACATTTGCAAAACGCCTTAGAATGTACAAAGCCCAGAGTGAACCCAAGTGTAAACTATGACCTCTGGGTGATAATGAGGAGTCCCTGTGGGTTCATCAGGTGGAAAAAACGTACCACTTTGGTGTGGGAGGTCCATCGGGTGGGATGGTGTTTGGGTGGGGGTGGCAGGGAGCTCCATGGGAACTCTGTACTTTCTGCTCCGTTTTGCTGTGAATCTAAAACTCCTCAAGGATGAATCTATTTTTTTAAGAAGGATGATGTGAATCTTAATTTTTTTTTCTTCCCATGAACGTAAGTCCCCTTCCTTAAGCTAGACGTCTTGGAATAGATATGTTCTGACCTTAACATAAGGCAGACACTAACAGAGCATCCAAATCCCCCTCCTGCTCCGGAGACATCAGCCTGGGAGAGGCATGGCGCGCTGTCATAAACACGAGCCAGAGGCCAGGCACTGCATTAAGAAGGCATTCAATTACTCTAGCTACCCCACCTCACCCCACCCCCAGCTGTAAATGGAAATGCCTGTCTCCTGAGGCCAGTGAAGCTTAGAGGAGAGAGTGGGTATCATAGCACTGTGCCGATTCCGTCCAGAAGAGAGGCCGGCCGAAACCGGTTTGGCTCAGTGGTAGAGCGTCGGTCTGCGGACTGAAGGTCCCGGGTTTGATTCCGGTCAGGGGCTTGCACATCCCCTACCAGGGATGTTGGTTGCAGGCACATCCCTGGTAGGGGGTGTGCAAGAGGCAGCTGGTCGATGTTTCTCATCGATGTTTCTAGCTCTCTCTCTCTCCCTTCCTCTCTGTAAAAAAATCAATAAAATATATTAAAAAAAAAAAAAAGAAAAAAGAGAAGAGGAAAAGCCGGTATTGGGTGTTCCCTGAAACACCATTTCCTGGCATCCTGGCCGGGTCCTGGGAGTGTAGACCGTGTATCTGGAATCTGGCAGAAGTGTCTGATGACGGTGTCAAGTGATCATTGCCTGCATGGCCCGCACTAGGACGGTTGTGCGCTGTTGCTCGGTGAAGGTAGGCTCGAGCCAGATCTTCAGAGAGTGGGGAGGGAGTGCCGAGCAGAGCGAGAAAACCTCTACCATCCCAGTGACCTGGATTCAGTCCACTTTTATTTGGGTGATTCCGATAGTGGCTCTGGTGAGAGACGAACTCTCCCAAGGTTATTATGCAAATTAGATAATTCAAGTAAAGTGCTTGGCTCACTGCAGGACACTCAGTAAGTGGTTCCTCGGTAGCCATGATTAACACATTACTCTCTTCTCCCCAAGCTGTTAGGCTTCCCTAATTAAAATGCTCTTAGCTTTAATGGGTTCCCAGTTCCAATGCCTGAGTGCTGTTACATACAGCAGTAACTTGTCCTAGTCAACAGCATCCTGTAGCACAGTGTTAGAAGCATGCACTTAAATGCCTATGACCCAAGCATGGAGAGCCGTGGGAACACTCTGCCAGCCTCTGCTACACTTGCTCCCACTTCACTGTGGGCCTCTCAGAGGTGCTAAGCCGCCTGTGAAGAACAGCTGGGAGGAAGTTGGTGGGGTGTAGTTCATTGTGTCACCAGGGTGAGGCAAGGGGAGTTTATCAGGACTTGGCACCTGCCTGCCCCTCTGCAGACTGTGGGGAGAGTGCTCAACACAGGAACACTGGCAACTGTCCCTCCAGCCCTTGTCTTGAACCCACACAATTCAGTTGTTCCCTCTGTGTGCCCTGATGCCACTGGGGCTGCTGGCTCTTTGCTATAGCTTAGGGCGAATGTTTATGGGTGAATGAATCTGTGTGTGGACCCTTTAAGAGGGTGCCTGGGTTGCCAGCAGCCCTTCATCTCACCAGATGGAATCCTCACTGATCTTTACAGCCAGATGTTGTGGAGACTCCTCTTCTGAGCACTGGGGCTCCAGGCTGGGGGACCTGGTGTGGGGCTGGAACCCCTCACCCCTCGTGGGGTACCTCTGCTGCCAAGATCTCTCTCCTGGTTCTCAGCTGCTGCATGTGAGGGTGAGACCAGCCTGTTTCTCATCTCTGCCCTCCTATCAGTCTCAATGTGGCTGCTGCTTTATATCCTTAGTTACAGGAGCTCCATTCACTGGTCTACAAATAGTTCTCCAGGGTGTTTGTTCTGTAATTTAGGGATAATTTTGTTATGTTCATGGGAAGAAGCAAGCACAGCATTTACCTGCTCCACCATCGAGACCGGAATTTCTCATTGTAGTTTTGATTTGTATTTTCCTGATGACTAATGATACTAAGCATCTTTTCATGCATTTATTGGCCATTTGTATATCTTTAGAGAAATATCCACATCCTTTGCCCATTATTTAATTGGGTTATTTGTATTTTTATTGTTAAGTTGTGTTTTATATATTCTGACTAGCCTTTTATGTCAAGTATGATTTGCATACCTTTTACCCTCTTTCGTGTATTTCTTGATAGTGTTCTTTGAAGCATAAACATTCTTAATTTTGATGAAGTCCAATTTATCTATTTCCCTGCATGTTTTTAAAACTCAGGCTCTTCCACATCAACACCTACAGGCGTATGTCATTACTATCCATATGAATATCATTGTATGGAGCTCTTCAGTCATTCCTTCAGACACTTCTTTTATTAATGGGCTGGTTTTATAGTTTACTAGAGGCCCTGTGCACAAAATTCATGCACGGGGGGGGGGGCAGAGGGTCCTTCAGCCTGGCCTGCATCCTCTTACAGTGTGGGAGCCTCAGGGGATGTCCAACTAATGGCTTAGGCCCACTCCCCAGGGCAACATCCTTAGCACAGCTGCAGAGGCGGGAGAGCCTCCCATCACCACCACTGTGCTTGCCAGCCATGAGCCCGGCCTGGCTTTTGGCCGAGCAGTGCTCTCCCTGTGAGATCGGGCCAAAACTGGCTCTCTAACATCCCCCGAGGGGTCCCAGATTGAGAGGGCACAGGCCAGGCCAAGGGACCCCACTGGTGCACAATTGAAGCCAGGGAGAGATGCGGGAGGTTGGCCAGCCGGGGAGGGGCCGTGGGGGTGCTCCAGGGCATGTCTGGCCCTTCTTGCTCAGTACTGATCAGCCGGACCCCAGCAGCAAGCTAACCTACCGGTTGGAGCATCTACCCCCTGGTGGTCAGTGCACGTCATAGCGAGTAGTTGAGTGCCTTAGCACATCATTAGCATATTACGCTTTGATTTGTTCAACGGCCAACTGCACACTTAGCATATTAGGCTTTCATTATATAGGAGGCTTGCACTTACAGATAGTACTGCAATGACCATTTGTGGGGAGGCATATATCTTAACCTTTTTTATAAGTAATGTCATAGAGTAAAATCTAGAAGTGGAATTGCTGGATCATGTTGTGGGCATGTGTTTAAAAATCTGGGTAAGTCTCTTAGAACATCGGTATGATTGCCTGTTGCCTCCCCTCCACACACAATCATACTGGCTCTGATGAGACTTTGGATTTATGGGAAAGTTCCATTGAGAACTGTATCATCCCTTACTTAACTGTTCCCCTTTGCAATCCAGCTGGGATGCCCATTCCTGCCCCTATGTCTCTACTGCCACAAGGTCAGGTCCCAAGAGTAGAACCTAGAGCCCAAAGGCAGGTATGGAACTTGACCCACTTATTTGCTCACCCTCGTGTGTGTTTCTCCCACAGAGACGCGGACATACTACCAGTGTTGGAGTTTCAATAACTGCAACTACGAATACCTCTCAAAAAATTTAGGAGAGAAGACTCTGCAGTATGAATGCTGCAAGAAGGACCTGTGTAACAAAAGCGGTGGGACGAGCATAACAGGGACCATCACTCTCCTGGTGACTTCGCTGTTCACGGCACTCTGGAGACTTCTCTAAGTCAATACCAGGAGACATTCTCCTCACTCCCTGCTTCTGTGTATTCCTTATTCCCTGTGCTGCCGCAAAAGCTTCCTATTTTCTTACTGGATCCTGTTGGGAAAGACCAAAACTAGCTTGAGCAGCTTGGATAAGAGAGAGGGGAGAGGGAGAGAGAGAGAGAGAGAGCTGGAAAACCAGTCCTGTTTGCAGAGAGGAAGCTTAGGATGGAAGCCCGTGCCACGTTAGCTGGGTTAGTTGCGTGCTGCTTCCTTTGCACTTTGCAGTAATAGCTTGACTAGACTCTCTGTAGTTGGCACTTATTTCCCCACGTATTCCTTGGATGTAGTTACCGGTATGACCAGCGCTTTTGTTGGGGGTGGGGTGGGGGATGGTTTGGAGCAGAGGGGTTCTTTTCACCAATCTCTTTCACGGGATGCTCTCACCACCCCCCCTCCTTTTATGGTCCCTGTGTGGCCACGTAGGCATGATGCATGTTCCAGATGTGGGCTGTCAGGGGCAAGGAGAGTCTACATGCAGAGCGACTGGAATGACTGTTTGTATTCTCAACTGGAAAGTGTCTGGAGGCGGAGGAGATAGGCTTTCCGGTGGCAGGGCACTAAGGTCCCAGGTCTGCCTTTAGGAGAAGTACCAGTGGCTGAAATCTGAATTCTCTTCTTTCCCTAAATTTTGTATGGGCTTTGCTGTCTTTCCCTGAAAACAACTTAAATGCTCAACGAATGGTGTGTTTAAAACGATTCCCCTCCCCCTTTCATTGGAATGATGGATATTTTCGCTTTGCCACGCAGTTCAAGACTAAATATTCGGATATGCTTTGCTACAAGGGATTTACAGTATCGTGTGCTTACTTTGAGTATTATCAGTGGGAATATCCGCATGTGTACGTGGACTGTAAGAATGCAATGGGAAGATGTCATCACGAACAGGCCCACAGGAATGTTCTGCCTGCTGACGTCAAGCCTGTTGACTCCTAGCTGCCCTGACAGAGACCATGCGATGCTCATTTGTAAGGGCCGTCAGCGTCCTCATAAATGTCAAGACTTTGAAAAGCTCTACCAGTTTCCTAAAGAGAGAGAGAGAGAGAGAGACCTCTTTTCAGGAGGGCAAAGTCTTGCCTTTTTTTGTACGAGTGGATTCTGGTGAATAATTCTCAAGATCTGATAGACTTAATAACGTTTATATTCTTATAACCTGTCTGCTTTTAACAGCATGGCCTGACTTGCCAATGAAAGTGAGATTTCTTGATTAACATTAAAAAAAAAAAGAAAAAGGCCTTGATTATGTCATCTGCGAGATAAAGTGGAACAAATGATGCCTTTTTGAAAAGAAAATATAATCAAATGCATGTGTGTGGTCATTGGGCCCGGAAGGAGGGCAGCGTGCCCAATGCCAGCAGAGAGTGCGGGCCGTGCCAGTTGTCTCCTGTGGATGTCATAGACAAATAAAGACTTCCTCACCCAGACCTGGCGTTCCCTGTGCTCTGTTCCCTGTTGGCGCGGTGCTTTTCCTGACAATCTCTGCCATCCTGTCCCAAGACAAAGTGGTCGTTGTGACTCTTTCCTTAACAGGACCCTCATTTCTGCCCGAGGAAGGACTGGCCCTGCCACAGCCACTGGCGTATAGGATTACTCACCATAAAACTTTGTCTAAACTAAATTCCTGTTTGGGCACAGTTACATTATTTTGGAGTAAAATAAATGACCACAGTACTTTTGGGTGTCTATGTGGGTCTGTTGTAGGGAAGGATGTCCTTTTCCCCGGCAGCTGTCTGGGTCCAGAGCCTCTGGGATTTGGGGGGAGAAGGGGAAGGAGGGACAGCATGCACCCTGCAGAGGGTGGGTGCACTGAACTGGGGGTCAAGGTTCTGGGATTGTGGAGTGGGGAGCTTTTCTGTGACACGCTTTCCTAGGCATGCTGCCATTCCCATCCTCGCTATTGGCTACATGCAAATTAGCCAACCTTAGTGCGTTGGGCCTATAACTTCAGCTAGTGCTCACGCTGGCTCAACTCGCTCTGGTGGGATCTGGTCCAGATAGGTCAACATCAACCGACCTTGAATACTGAGAGGGTGGCCCTTGAATGTGTTGGTGTGATAGGGTGCTATGGCCAGAACTGAAACTCAACATTACAATTCATTAACTCGACTAGTGTAGCTAGCTAAAAGGGGACCTGGCACTAAATTCTTCAACAGGGAATGCCGTGGTCACAGCTTGAGGCCTGACTGTGTGCCAGCCACTGTTTGAAGCGCTATGTTTACGACTTCCTGTCGCTCTGTAACTGAATGGTATTGCCTCTACCCAAACGCATCAGAGTGTTCACAAATCATTCTCTACTTATTTTACTGACTGGCACTCTGCCTGGGCACCTGCCCATGGAGTGAGTGAGGTCTCCATGTCACAGCTCTCTCAGACCTGTGTTGCAGGTTTGAGAAAGTTTCTGTTCATTCTAACTAAACATCACCGACCAAGGTAACTATCCTATTTCCTCGAAAATAAGACAGTATCTTATATTAATTTTTTCTCCCAGAGTTGCACTAGGTCTTATTTTCAGCGGATGTCTTATCTTTCCATGCGCTAGGTCTTATTTTCGGAGGATGTCTTATTTTCGGGGAAACACGGTACTAGAAGAGTTAACTGAGAAATGCTAACTAAGCCGCACTTTCCCCTGAGCTATGGGAAGAAGTTGAAGACACACTAATGATTGGAATGGAAATAACTTATATACATTGTGAATAAAGCAGCTTTGAGATTTTTTTTAAATTTTTGGTTTACAGTAAGATCTCCCTGCAATAGACCTGTACTTAATGGCAATGCATTCGCAGCTCAGTTGTTAAGGCCCTTTTTCTTGCCTCACTGAGGAGCTCCGAGGCCTTATGCATGCTACCGCCCCCCTCTGGCCTTCTGTGTCATCACCAGTTGTAACAATGGCGCCTGCCATAACGGGCCTTGGCTTTTTAGCCACTGGGCCTCTGCTCCCCCTCCCTTCTGGTCACAACTACCATTATCTGCTGGGGAATCACCTCCACTTGGAAGGGCACTTTTCCTGAAGGTGGTCTAACCTTCAGGAAAAGTGCCCTCCTCACCGGAAGCTGGGCAGGGTCTCTCCTGCAATTTAAGTCTTAAGTGGAGTTAGACAAGGACTGAAGATCCTTTTGGATTGAAGCTTGAGTCTCTCAGGAAGGCTACAATGAACAGACAACTTAGAGTAGCTTAATCAGAGTGGGATTCTCTTGCATAAGAAGGTAGGCAGCTTTTGGCCTTGGTTCAGCTGCTCAACACCATCACAGGGGGGGAGGGGGTGGCATGGCATAGTCGTGGTCTTTCCCTCATGATCACAGAGTGACTGTGACTGCCAGGTCCAGGGCAGGAAGAGGAGATGAAGGGGAAGCTTCAGTACCCCTTATCAGCAAAGTCCCTTCTGCCCCTCTTATCAGGAGAGTAATATTTCCCCAGAAAGCTTCCAGCTTGTTCTGGTCCTATCTTCTGGCTGGAGATGCCTCCTGGCCACCCTCGCTGGAAGGGAGACGGGCAAAGCTGTTTGTTTTTCCAGCCTCTGTAGGGAAGGCTGAAGGGAGAGGGTGGAAACTAGTCACTGAGAACAGCCAGCCTACTGAAGAGGCTGCTGGTTCCTTCCTGCTACCTGGATTCCTAAACTCGCCTGCTCTCTGAACCCTCAAAACCAAATTATTATTTTTTTTTAAAGAATATATATTTTTTAATTAAGTGCAGAGAGGAAGGGAGAGGGAGAGAGAGAAACATCGATGATGAGAGACATTGATCAGCTGCCTCCTGCACGCCTCCTACTGAAGCTCGGGCCTGCAACGGGGCATATGCCCTGACCTGAATGGAACTGTGGCCTTTCCTAGGTTGATGCTCAACCACTGAGCCACACCAGCCGGGCTCAAAACCTAGTTCTTAAGCTTTCAGTTCCATGAACTATCTCATTGCCCTCGGTATAAAATCTCCGTGTCAACTTCTGTTGCAGAAAAACTCTACAGACCGACCCTCTTAATTGTTACTGCCAGGATAACTTGAGAACACGATACATTAAGTGGTGAAGGAAGTGTGAGCGACCATTCCTTTCCCCAGGGCTGCACAGTTAGTTGATGCTGGTTGATGAGACTAAGCTCAGCTCTCTCTTCCGGCCCCTGCACTCCCCATTCCACTGGTGCCTCTCAGGCTGCAGTTGATGAAAAAATGTGCTTACTCTGCAAGTGTGTGGGAAAACGCCCGCCCAGGGAGAGAGGAGTAGGGGTGGGGCTGCATTTTTTTTTTTTTTTTTAGAAAAGTTCTTGAAATAGTGGGTGTTGTGAAGGAAAGTGGAAATGTGTGGGCCATCAGCTCCTGACCAACACAATGGTGAATTCAGCTGAGGAATAAAGACTGTTGGGTGCTCGTCAAATAGCCAAACCCTTCAACTGGGACACAAACAGCTTCCAGTTAGAGCCCGCCCTCTGCCAGCAAGAGAGAGCCAGCCAGCGTGAAGGTGACCCTGCCCTGAGAGCCGGAGGGAGCCGGTGGGAGGCTGTGGGAGGAATGGCCCCAGGCGGGGAGCTGGGGCCTGCCCATCTGTTTGGAATTCCACTTCTGATGCTAACCAGTCCCAGGGCCTCAGGCAAGTTACTCAACCTTACCTGCCTCCTAAAGTGGGGAAAATGGCTACTGCTTAGGGTAGTTGGAATGAGCGGACGAGTTAAGACAAGTGCCCGGTTTAAGGTCACTGTCCTCTGCGGGGCAGCAGGTAATCAGCTTCTACGTGTAGGGCTTGCTAAAATGTCTGGAGTGGGCTCAGTGGTCTGGGAGAAACACCCCTCCCCTGCTCCACGGTCCTCATCCATTTGCCAGGGCTTACTGGTGAATCCAGGAATCCATGTAAGACTGTTTACTAGTAATAATCACAGTCACCTACTACGTGTCCCAGGAGCACCTACTCTGTGTCCCAGGTGTTGCTCATATTTTTCACCACATGCATCCACTTTGTGTGGCAGAACTTGCCTTCATTTTACAGCTCAGAAAATAGATTCCAAGAGCGGACACGACTTTCTCAGAGGCACAACGAGTCCTGGGTTCAGACATGACTTTTGTCTTCGTATGTTCAGGCTGCTATAACAAAAATCCCATAGACTGGGCGGCGTAAGCAAGAAACATCTCTCACGGGTCTGGTGGCTGGGAACTCCAAGGTCAAGGCTCCAGCAGATTTGGTGCCTGGTGAGAACCCATGTCCTGGTCTTCTCACTACGCCCTCACATGGTGGAAGTGGCAAGGGAGCTCTCCTCAGTCTCTTTAGTAAGAGCTCTAATCCATGCGTCAGGGCTCTGTCATCAGACTTAATCACGTCCTAAAGGCCCCACCTCCTAATACTATCTCACTGGGGCTCAGGTTTTCAACTTAATATACCGTATTTTCCGGCGTATAAGACGACTTTTGAAACGAAAAGTCAACCAAAATTGCACAAAAATTACCTGCAGATCTTGACGGCAAAGTAAGTCTTTTCTTTGAAGAGGGGGATAGTCTTATACAGCAAATATAGGCCTAAACCTATGTTTTAACTGTAAAATTAGGGGGTCGTCTTATACGCCGGAAAATACGGTACTCATTCTGTAATAACTCTGCTGTATCCAAGCCACAAGTTTTACATGCGCCTAAATGCTGACCTGAGCCAAGGCAGGCATGGCCAATTGTGACATCCCCTAAAGAGGCAGAGAATCTGGTGAAGGTGTGATGGTTGGCATTCTGTCCAGATGCAGAGCGAAAGTGATGGAGAGGCAATGAGGCTTCTAGGAGAACAAGTGTAGTCAAACCCAAGTCCAAAAACCCAGTAATACCAATCAGGAAAGCACTGAGTATGCAACAAGGAAAGCGATTATTTTTGAGAGGCAGCCAAGCGAGGAGAGACAGGGTCTTCAAAGCCCAAATCTATCTCCCCAAGAGGAAAAAGAAGACGAAGGGTTTGAAGAGGGACTCAACTAGTACAAGCAAAGAGAGAGGAGCTAAGTGATTCTAAGTCTAATAAACAATGGCATGTTACTAAGCTATTAGAAAAGATGAAATACTGCCATTTGCAATATCATGGATGGGTCTTAAGACCATCACGCTAAGCGAAACAAGTCAGACGGAAAAAGTCACTCATGTGTGGGATATAAAACAAAGCAACCAATGATCAAACAACGGGGAGGCAGACAAAGGAGAAGAGGGCTGATTGAGAACGGCTGTTAGAGCCAACCCATGTTCCTGCCGAATTTCCCCGTGCTGCGGGAGGTCAGGAAAGGGGGCCCTGGTGTGGATTGTAATAAATCTGAGGGGAAAGGGACTTCAGTGACTCCAAACACTTTCATTTTCAGAAACAAACAGGCACCAAATGAACCACTGAAAGGAAATCCTGCCGAGCCTGTCCCAAATAGCTCACACCCTTTCCTTGGTACCTTGCAAAGGAAGCCCAAGATCTCTTACAGAATTAGTCAGACTCAGAGGAGGCAAATTTCCATTGAAAGCTTTAGCCTAAACAAGATAAAATCATTGCTGTGAAGGAATAAAGATGGATAGGTTGCTGGCCAGTCAAGATCTGAGTCAGTACCAGCTGTGTGTGTGTGTGTGTGTGTGTGTGTGTGTGTGTGTGTGTGTGTGTGTGTGTGAGAGAGAGAGAGAGAGAGAGAGAGAGAGAGAGAGAGAGAGAGAGAAAGAGAGAGAAAGAGGAGAGAGAGAGAGAGAATGTGTTGTATGTGTGTGTGTACAAAGGGAGTCAGCTATCCAGGCTGGATGTCTTTGAGCAAGTTGTTTGATGTTTAAGAGAAATAATCTGCCTCCTACAGTTGCTTGTGATGACCAGACAGAAGACAGAAAGGTGTGTGTGAGCCTAGAAACTGTCCAAGCTTACGGGGCTTGTCTAACACTGAGCTGCTTTCTCTCCCCAGACTAGCTGATCCAGCCCATGGAGCCTGTAGTGCTGAGCATATAATTGGACCCAATAAGTATTTGGGAGCTTTTAAAACCAGTGTGATAGCCTGGCCGGTGTGACTCAGTGTGGAGCATGGACCTATGAACCAGGAGGTCATGGTTCGATTCCCAGGGTAGGGTGTGCAGGAAGCAGGCAATTAGTGATTCTCAGCATTGATGTGTTCTCCTCTCTCTCTCTCCCTCTCTCTCTCTCTCTCTCTCTCTCTCTCTCTCTCTCCCTCCCTCCCTCCCTTCCTCCCTCTCTCTCTCCCCTTTCTCTCTGAAATAAATAAAAATATATTTTAAAAATAAAAAAAAGTGTTATGGGAACTGAAAGGGATCATAATATACCACCTCAAATATGCCATTTTGGCATAGGGATTATTTTCAATTGAAGGTAATTGAGAAACAGAAGACTCAGCCTAAAAGCAGAGCTTAATCTTTTCTTCTTCTTCCTATAAACGGAGTGGGAACCCGAGGAATGTTTTCTCTTGCAGTTCAGGCCAGCTCTCCCCTTGGGGCTTTTGTTTGATGTGATGCTAGGCTGTGATAGCTCCGGAGCAGCGGGGCTTGTGGAATTTAGGGGGAAGAGAGGGTGTTTAGAGTAAAGAGGGGCTGAAGCCTGCTTGGGGCTGGAGGGGAAGGGAGCTGAGGTCGAGCGTAAACCAAGGGGTTGGGCCGGTCATGCGGGGCGCGCCTGCTGGGCTTCCCCCTCGAGCCCCCCTTGCCGGTGCCTTTCTCACGCCGGGGGGCGCGGCCTGCCACCTGCCAGTGGGCGTGGCCACACGCTGGGGCGTGGCCAACCAGACGGCGCCCTGCTTGTTGGGGGCGGGGCTAGCGCGGAGGGGCGGGGCCCGTGGAACCTCAGAACCCGGCCACTCGCGACGGGCGCGGGTGTCCCGGCGCGGGGTTCCTCCCACGCAGCCTCCCATTCAAAAGATGCCGAAGGGGCGGCGCGGCCGCCAGAGCCCCACGATGAGCCAGCGGCCGGCCCCGCCCCTCTACTTCCCGTCCCTCTACGACCGCGGCATCTCCTCGTCCCCGCTCAGCGACTTCAATATCTGGAAGAAGCTCTTCGTGCCGCTGAAGGCGGGCGGGGCGGCGGCGGGGGGCCGGCCCCTGCCGCAGGCGCCCCCGGCGGCGCCGATGCCCCTGCCGCCACCCCCGGGCCTGGGCCCGCCTAGCGAGCGCCCCTGCCCCCCGCCCTGGCCCGCTGGCCTGGCCTCCATCCCCTACGAGCCGCTGCGCTTCTTCTACTCGCCGCCGCCGGGGCCCGAGGGGGCCGCCGCCTTGCCTCTGGCCCCGGGCCCCACGGCCTCCCGGCTCGCCTCCGCCTCCCACCCCGAGGAGCTGTGCGAACTGGAGATCCGGATTAAGGAGCTGGAGCTGCTCACCATCACTGGCGATGGCTTCGACTCCCAGCGCTGTGCGTGACCTCCCCGGGTCGTCGCCGGAGCCCACCCTTAGGCTGGCTTGACTGACACCATTCTTGGCTCCATGTCCTCCCTTCCTAGGTTCCCCCCCCCCCCCAAAAAAAAATGTGGCCTCAGGCTCAGACTCCAGCACCCAGATGTCCCAGGTTTCAAGCTGATCCCCTGCCCCGACCCCAGATTCCTCCCCCATCCTGGATATCAACCGATTCTTTTCCTCCAACTCCACCCTCCCTCCATCCTGAGCCCTTCTGGGAATCTGGACCCTGAGCCCCCAAACCTGGAACTCCAGCCACCACAATCCCCTTCCTGAACCGTTAAGCCTCTTGCACAGTAAACAACTCCCCCTGGAGCTCCCCCACAGCAGTCTCTTTCTCTAGAGCAGTGGTCGGCAAACTCATTAGTCAAATGGCAGCAGTACAACGATTACAATTTCTTTCGAGAGTCAAAGTTTTTAAACTTAAACTTCTTCAAAATAGACTCGTCCAGGCCACAGCACAGAGAGGAGAGACCCCGTTCTTTGTGAAAGAGCCACACTCAAGGGGCCAAAGAGCTGCGCGTGGCTCTTGAGCCACAGTTTGCCGACCACGGCTCTAAAGCATTTATTTTCAACTGGGATCCTGGACGGGAGGCGGGGGAACTAGGGGAGGGTTGGTTGGAGTGTCTGTAGGGGAATTGTGTAAGATGGGAATTGTGCAAGACCCAGGCCCAAGAACAATGCTGGATGGTAGCTTCCCTGTGACACTCCCAGCTTCTCCCCTCCCCACACCCCTCTTGTAGCCGACTCACTAGGGGCCTGGACTCTGCCAACTGATCTTAGGTTTGAAGTCTCAGGGATCTTACTTAACCAGGGAGACCAGGCGTGCTGCTGTGGCTGGGATTCCTGGAGCATCCAAGCAGACTGCGGGAGAGTAAACTCGCACAAAGTCCAATTCTACTCCCAGAGGGCCTGTTGCTCTGTAGAATAATCAGTAGCCAGAGGCTGTTCTGCAGACTTTGTTTTTCCCATCACCCCTTCTAAGAGCAGATGGTTCTTGAAAAACTATCCCCATTATTGTATAAAATTGCCCCCCCCCCAACACACACACACACACACACACACACACACACACACACACACACACTGAAAAGGGGGTATGAAATAACCCAAATGTTTAGGTCCATGAGGCAGCAGGTCTCTAGAAACAATTCCTAGAAAACTTGGACTTTTCTAAGACCTGTCATTTCTCAACTACATGTTCTCCACTTATACATGTTTTGGATCCTAATGGTTTTGGGGCTCCCATAGGGAGCACACAGTTGCATTAGCAGCGTTAGAAAAAGCCCTTCTCTCTACTCAAGCTAAGTGTGTCTTGCTCTCCTGCAGATAAATTCTTGAAGGCGCTGAAAGATGAGAAATTACAAGGACTGAAGACCAGACAGCCTGGAAAGAAGTCAGCCTCTTTCTCCTGAGGAGCTGCTCACCAGAGCCTGGGTAGCCACCTTCTTAGGTGTTAGTGCTTAGATAATGTGTCCTGTTTGTTGTCATTTCAAAAATGGTTATTTTCTGTTCTGTATTTACTGCTGTTCTTGTTGCTCTCAGCACGCGCTCCACATACAGTGCCCACGTACGGGGTGAATCTCATGGTGTCTCTCCTCTCTGTGCCATGGCTGGGGGAGCTTTCTCACAGGGTCTGGAAGCTGCTGCCCTGCTGGCATTCAGGGGCTCCTAACGCCAGGGGAGGGGACTCCCAACACTGCCAAGTCAGGAGGGAATTGGGGAGAACCAAGGGCAATATACTCGCATATTTGGTTCTGTTGCTGTGTCCCTGCTCCAAGGGGCTCTGGAAGGACAGGAATACTGGATTTGTTTGTTTTCCAACAGCTTTAGTCCTTGGAACTATTTCATTTGTTAGTGTTTTTTTTAGACCACAAAACCTTTTAATGATCTAATCAAAGCCAAGGTCCTCCCTAGAAATTAATATATTCAAGAAGTAATTGAGAGCGGATTCTGTAACAGACACCCTCCGTCCGGGGCTCTTGTGGTCGGGCATCAGGGAGACACAGAAACTGTCATAAATAGGTAAATCATAATATGGTATCATAGATTATAACATTCTAAGGGAGGGGGGTGGGAAGAGTAGGGCAAGGATAGTCAGGAAGGTGAGCAGAAAGCAGGGTAGAATTTCAAATATGGTTTCCTGAAGCGTTACTGTGTAAACAAGGCTTGAAGGTGGTTGAGGGTGATAGCCCTGTGGCATCCTGGGAATGTTCCAGCAGAAGGGCCAGTACAAAGGCTGAAGTGGGAGCATGCTGGGATGTTTGAGGGTCTGCAAAAAGCCCAGGTGGCGATAAACACAATTTACCATCTTAAATGGAGGAGGAGTGAGAGGAGAATGGAAGGGCTGTTTGCAGAGAGGGTCCATTCCTGTAGGGCCTTCCAGCCATGGTAAAAACTCCAGGTTTTACTCCAAGTGGAAGGGGGCCTGGGTAGAGGATTTTCAGCCAGTGAGAGACAGGATTTGCCCATGCTGCTGAGTTGAGAACAGACTAAGGAAGGAAGAAAGTAGAGAAAGCAGTTTTGGCTTGTAGTAATGAATAATCCAGCTGAGTGAGATTGAAAATTCCAGCCTCATCTTCCCTTTCACCTTTGCTTGGTGAGAGGTGTCTGTGGGGCACCGGCTGCCACCACCAACCTCGCCCCCATTTGCCAGGTGCTGTCTCCCTGGTGAGGAACAAATGGGAGGAGAGAGATCTCCGTGACACAAGCACGCGAATAAAGAAAAAAAAATATTTTATGAAACAAATCTTCAATCAAGTATAACATTTTTAAAATATATGTATTTTTACTGATTTCAGAGAAGGCAGAGGGAGAGAAACAAACATCAACGATGAGAGAATCATTGATTGGCTGCCTCCTGCACGCCCCACACGAGGGATGAAGTCACAACTTGGGCATGCGCCCTGACCAGGAATTGAGCCCTTACCTCCTGGTTCATAGTTTGACATTCAACTACTGAGCAACACCAGCTGGGCTCAAGTATAACATTTTAAAAAAAATATTGATTTTTCACAGAAAAGAAGGGAGAGGGATAGAGAGTCAGGAACATCGATGAGAGAGAAACACCGATCAGCTCCTGCACGCCCCTTACTGGGGATATGCCCATAACCAAGGTACATGCCCTTGACTAGAATCAAATCTGGGACCCTTCAGTCCACAGGCCAACACTCTATCCACTGAGCCAATCTGGTTTTCAGCACAAGTATGACATTTTGATACTTGCCATCTAGATGCCCTGCCAGGAGCAACTGTAGGTCGGAGCCAGAGAATTTGTGAAGCTTGGGCTTCTTACAAAAGGAGAATGAAAAGGAGCGGCCAATGAGGCAGATGTCTTAGAAGTGCCAGAATGTTGTCCCTGAGTGGACCGGAGGGGGGGGATCTAGAGGGGTTGGCCACAGATGGCAGAAGAACTGGTTCATCTCTATGAACAGGAGACCCATCTGTGAATGAGGGTGCAGACGCCTGTAGAAGGGTAAACACGGTGGTGGGATCCCTGGAAATTGCATACACGTACCCCAAAGTCTGCAGCATCCTCCAGGTGCTCCTGCCCTCGGACAAGGTCCCGCTGGAAACCCTGGGAGTGCGTGTGGAGCCTGGTGGAGCCCGCAAGCGGCAGCGCGCACGTGACTCTGGGGTAGTTGTTAACCAGCTGCAGCTGCTGCTGGCCCAGCCAGGCGGGTGGGCAGTGTCAGGTGGAAGCTCTTGCTTTCTAAAGCAGCCATGAACTCAAAGGTTTCCAAACACAATTCAGGCTAAACAAAGCCAGCCGGACGGTCGTTCAGCGTCGGCAGCTTCTGCTGTACCCATGGGAGTCCAAGCACCTTGGGCGGGTTTTACTCCAAGGTGTAAAACCCCCAAGGTTTTACTCCAAGGTGTTAGCCTCCCCTCCCAGGAAGAAGCCAGAGTCTTGCTGGTCGGCCTGGTTATTGTTAGCATTTTGTTTGCCCAGAAAACTTCAGGCTGGCCAGGCCGGGGGGGAGTGGGGACTGAAGAGTCTCAATGAGAACAGACCAGGCACCAGAAAACCCAGCACCTATATCCAGTGGGTCTTGTTTCCCATTTCCTCCCCAGAGTCCCTGTGGCCTCTACTCCCCTCCCCAACCCTCCCAAGCTCCTAAGATCGGGCACAGCCAGTGCTGAGCACAGAGGGAGGCCTTAGCATGAACAACCTCATTTAATCCTCACCTCACCAGCACCTTATGAAGTAGGTTTGCCATGTTTTACAAATGAGGGGACAGAGGCGCCACGAGAGGAAGGGACTTACCCACAGACGCAGAGCTGGGGAAAGGCAGAGCCGGCGGCCACGTTCTCCCTGGCTCTCTCGCTGGGTGAGGCACAGATTCATGGGAAGCCCAGGTGAGCCTCTATAGGAAGCACCTGGCTGGATGCTTCCAGGGCATGGTTTGGGGTTGGCTGGGTTGTTTCTCACAAACTTTGCAAGTGAGAATGGGGTTGACAGTATTACGATATCACAGCCAAGGTCCCAGGAATGCTCACACCCAACCCTATCACCTGTCCCCTCATCCCATGGCTTCGGTTGTCGCAGGTCCTGTTATCAGGACAGTGAGGAGGCAGGTCATGCGATTGTCAGCCCCTCCTGAACAAAAGGAAATGGAAGAGGTTGCTCCCCAAAGAAAAGGATGATTGACAGATGGAAGCGAGAAGGGTCCCTGCTGAGAGAACACCATAGGCAGGGATAAGATGCACGTAGCCTGAGCAGCTCCCCAAGTCCAGTGGTTAAATTTTTATGAAATCTGAAAGCTAGCTAGCTGGCTGTTAAATGCTGCCATTATTAAAAATCACACTACGCCAACTTTCAATTAAGCTTTATTTAAAACGAAGGCAACAGACACTCAAAATCCATCACGTCCTAAGCATCTTGCTGCATTTTACAATGACCTAGGACATGTTCTTGAGATTATTTCTATTGATATCTGTGTGGTGGGGGGCAAGGGCGCATTACTTCCCAATAATGTCCTGCTGGTGACTAGAAGCTGGCTGAAATGGCAGTTTTCATGCCCTGAACTTGACAAATGTGCAAATTAGAGTTGTTCCTTCCCCCACCCTCCTCAGCCAAAGCGTAGGTTGTTGAACATTTATTAGTGCTCCAGCAGATACACAGGAAATGAAAGTACCGCTTTGTTTACAACTGAAGTAAAGGTGAGCTGCTTTGGAGCCTTGCAAGCTGAGCTGAAGGTATACATGAAGCTCTTTAAAAAAAAATACATATATATATGTATAATTGATATTTTTACAAAGAGGAAGGGAGAGGGAGAGGAATAGAAAGTTAGAAAGATCAAGGAGAGAGAAACATCGATTCAGCTGCCTCTTGCACACTCCCGACTGGGGATGTGCCCTCAACCAAGGTACATGCCCTTGACTGGGAATTGAACCTGGGACCGACCCTTCAGTCCACAGGGCAACATTCTATCCACTAGGCCAAACCGGTTAGGGCATATAAATGAAGCTCTTGCTGCCTCGAACTCATGTGCCCACTCAGGTCCACACCAGGCGGAGGGGACGCACCTGCTGGAGTCTGCTCAGGAAGGCTGGCTTTCCCTCGTACTGGGCCCACAGGGAGCACTGGTGTGTGGCTTCAAAGGTGGAGTACACCTGCCCACTGAGGAAGCAGGGCCCAAGGAATGTCCTGGACTCTGACCAATCAGATTAGCGACCTCTACTCTGGGGAAATTAGGGTAGAGGGCAGAGTAACAGCCGGCAGGGGTAGGCCTGAGGTCCTTCTGAGTCAGGATTTGATCTCAGAAGTGATCTTTTCCCAGGATCATCTAGTGAAGTCGACGACTGAAATCAGGGACAAGGGAGACTATGCCTTTGAAGCTGACTTATTTGTAAGCGAGCACAAAGCTTACACCACTGCCCAGCAGGGGAGGGGGGAAGGGGTTCCCAAAAGGGTTGCCAATGAGGCTCCTTGGTCTGGGAATATAACAGTCTATATCTGCTAACCAACAAGCCCCCTTGGTTCTCAAGGCTCCTCGCTTCTTTCTGCCTTGTTCTTCCTCAGGCCACGTAGCTACGCCATTCCCCCCACCCCCGTTCCTGTCACTTCCCCGTTTGCATATCTTTCTTCTTAGAACTCTGAGAACCACCTGTTGGAGCCCGATGTTTGGCTTTTGAGGTTTGGCCAAGGTGTTAATTATTTTTTCTTTTTAAATATATTTTATTGATTTTTTACAGAGAGGAAGAGAGAGAGGAATAGAGAGAATCATCGATCAGCTGCCTCCAGCACACCCCCCACTGGGGATATGCCTGCAACCAAGGTACATGCCCCTGACCAGAATCAAACCTGGGACCTTTCAGTCCGCAGATCGACGCTCTATCCACTGAGCCAAACCGGTTTTGGCTGTTAATTATTTTTCATTTGAAGTGATTTGCTCATTGTTTTCTCCCTGAC